CTGTGTGCTTTGGGGAGGATTAGGTATTGTTAACCATTTTCACAAATTAGACTTATAATACTTACAGTGAATTATTAATAGTTTTTATATGTTTCTTTTCTCTTTCTTTCTTCTTTCTTTTCTTTTTTTTTTTTTTTTGTGAGACCGGGTCTTGCTGGCCTGAACTCTCAGTGCTCCTGCTTCAACCTCCAGAGTACTGGGATTACAGATGTATACCACCATATCCAGTTATACTTTGCTTTTTAGAATGTATTACGATTTTTTTTTGCAGCACTAGGGTTTGAACTCAGGGCATCACATAGGTACTCTACCCTTGAGCCACACATTTGCTTTTGATGCCAGTGTGAAAAGGAATGTTGGGAATGAGCAAGGAATTTTGTTGGAATAGAGGAAGGGGTGAATGTGAAGAGCCACATGTACCACCCTGCTATATGAAGTTCTAGCACTGGCTGCTGCTGGAAAGCCTGTGTGTGGTTATTCTTTACAGATAACTTAGGGAATGCTTAGGGACTCAAAAAAATAAGACATTTTTCTTAAGTTTTTAAAGCTTAATTCCACCATCCTGATACAACTAGATTGGCTTTTTGCCATTTTCTTTCCAATATATTTCCACAAACATAGTTTCACATATTTGTAAATCCATGTTCTGAAATGGTTGTTTAATGTTAGTTGTGAAACATGTAACACATTTGTCCACATACATTAATTGCTGCATGTACTTATCTTCATAATGTTAATTTACTTTTCCTGTAGAATTTACCATGATCCTTTCTAAGTTTCTAATGTTTTTATTTGGTGGGTTGTTTTTTTTAGGCTCTATTTCCTGGAGTTAGGTTACTGGGTCAAAGAACACGAACAAACATTTTATGGCTCATGAAACATATTGCCTGCTGTTTTATAACGCCTACAGCATTATTTGAAAGCTGACAGGTTAGACCTGACTTCTGCTGACTCTCAGACTTCATTTCCCTCTTTCACTTTTGGTCCCAGCGTAGCTCATTGGTTTGTTCTGCTCTGGGAACGCTCATGCCCATTTCCAGGCCTTTGGATCCGTCCCACAGCTGCTGGACATACTCCTTGGAAACCTGCTTAGGGCCATCTCTTCCTTGTGGTCTTGGTTGATAAACCTCTCCTCCCTTTCTGGTACTGTAGCTCCTACTCTGTCTGGGTGGTCTTCTCTGCCCTATGAAGCGTGTCACCTGGGGACTGTAGAGTGAACCAAAGGGGGCAGCCATGGGCATCTGGACTCCCTAGCCATAGAGGAGAAACTGCTCCCAGCTCAGTTTCCCAGAGGAGGGAAGTTAATAAACTACCTCACAGATAGAAATGTGGAATGTATACAAACTCCTGACTTCAGTCTGCACCACCTCCTACAAGGTGTACTCGTCGTATGAACAAGTGGTCGCCTTGCCTTTTCTAGAACTCCTAGCAGGTGGGAGGAGGAATGGTGACTCAATGTCTCTTTTCATTTTAGGACTGCTTCCCAGAGTGTGCGGGCTTACTATTAAAGATGTATGGAAAACAGCCAGCCATTTCTAGTCATTTAAAAATGCTTTAAAATGGGGCTGGGCATATAGCTTAGTGGGTAGAGTGCCAGCCTAGTAAGTGCAAGGCGCTGAATTCAAACACAGTACCAACAAAAAAACCTTTATAACATCACTGTAAATGTAAAGTATGTGTAATGAAATTATTTGAGACGAAGAATTTGGACTAAGAGATTACCATTTCTAGAAAGGAGAGGATGAAGCAGCCTGATTTTAGAGTTTATTTTTAAACACTATACTTTTATGTTTTAGCTGGTATACAGTGTTTTTATTACTGTTTTTTATTGTTTTTCCATTTACTAACATGTGTATACATGGTTTGGGCCACCGCGTACAGTGTTTTTAGATTTAAGGATAAAACAGCATTCCTCTTATTGTAAGGAATAGAATATTATCTGACTAATTGGATATTGTATTTTTTCTAGTAAAGTAAAATATTTCATTGGATTTTTTTGCCAAGATAATTCAGGAAGTTATTTTTCTTTCAATAAGCATCTTAACAGGCTTGTTTTACCTCTTTGGAAGATTTCATTATAGCTAACCATCCCAACAGCATTTGGAAACCCCTTTTATTATGAAGTTACTGAGAATGAGACTAAGTCATGTCCAGTTAGAATGTTAGTTGCTGGACACATGTGACCATTGAATGCTGGAAGTTAATTTTAAATTTAATTTAATTGAAATTTTTATTCAGTACTGCCACACATTGGGAGGAATTCTGGAAATTTCAGGTTAAAGGCACATATATTTCTTTGTACAAAGGAGTGTGGGAATTAGAGGAGAGAGATAATTTGAGAACGCTTCTTAGTGCTTTTGGGTGTATTTCTAGCACTAGGGACAGCACAGTTGGGGTGTTGCACTTGTGCCTCCTCCTCGGTGTGGTGTAGATGCTGAGCTGGGTATGGGGTCTGTGCTGAGGACTCAGAAGTGAAGATCTTTTGGCCTGTTATTTTCATCACTAAATAACCGTCAGTTTAGAGCTAATCCACTTGGTAGTCTTGACGTGAGTGCAGGACACAGAATAGCACAGGGCAAGTATCTTTAGGATGAGTATGTGCACCCTTACATTTCCCTTGTCCGATGTATCAAGAATGTAGAGCTAGGGGACAGGTAGATGAGATGTAATACCTGACCTTGATTTTAAAAGAAATTTTCTGATTATTACACTGATTTGACACATTTGATCTTCTCTGAAGAAATGGAAGCCACCAAATGTGAGTGGCGTCTCTGTCTCCTTCCTTCTACTCTGTTTTGCTGCTTTGTTCTATTTTTCCTGTTTCCCTGTGTTCCTGTCTTCTTTCCTTCAAAATACTATCATAGGAGTTAACCAGCTTTGTGAATTTTCAAGCAGGGTGATCTTTGAACTTGACAAGAATGGAAAATTAATTTGAAGTCTAGATGGGATCATAAGTTACTTACTGACAGGAGGTGACTTGAATCTGATTTCCCACAGAGATTTCCTGTTGGAGCAATGTACTACACACAGCATTAAGACATATTTTGACTGTTAGGCTTGATGGGGTAGTGTTCTTGTCTGTAATTTTGCAGCTTTTGTACCAACATGTCTGCTTGTTGGGTATGCTGCTACCGTTTTACTCTGCAGCTGATGAAGTTTTCTTCTCATTTGTGTAGGTTGCACAGAGCATTGAGGATCACCATCAAGAAGTGATTGGTTTCTGCAGAGAGAATGGTTTCCATGGCTTGGTGGCATATGACTCTGATTATGCACTGTGCAACATCCCCTACTACTTCAGTGCCCATGCCCTGAAACTGAGCCGCAATGGGAAAAGTCTCACGACAAGCCAATATCTGATGCATGAAGTTGCCAAGCAACTGGACCTGAACCCAAATCGTTTTCCTATTTTTGCTGCTCTGTTAGGTAGGTGGAGCAGTGTGAAAACTTTGTTTTATGATAGAATTATTACACTGTGAGCATACTGATCTTCCAAAGATTGGTGCTTGAATGTTTTGCAAAGTTTCATATGTGCTTAAGCATTATGGAAAATGACTTTTGCATACTAATTAACTTTTGGTGAATAGAAAATTGCGTGTTCTTAGAATATGAGACACCTTACTGATTTGAAATATGGAAGAACATCTGATTTGGGGGGGTGGTAATACTGGGATTTGAACTCAGGTCCCCACCTAGGCAGGCACTGTGCCACTTGAGCCACTCTGCCACTTTTCTGCAGTGAGTGTTTTTGAGATAGGGTCTTGTTTTTTTTTTTTGACCTGAACTGTCCTCAAACCACGATCCTCCTGATCTCTGCCTCCCAAGTAGCTAAGATCATAGGTGTGAACCACCAGCATCCAGCATGATTTTCTTATTTAAGAAATATTGATTGCGTTTCTGGGAGATAATGCCAACTCATACTTTTCTGTCTGTTGCATTGTGACATTTTGAAGTAAATTACAAACAAAATCAATGTTAATATTTTATTTAATTTAGGTCTTAGAATCTCTTTAAACGTTTAAGCAGCTTATAGGAAATCTCTTGATTGGGTGAGCTTTTTTGCTTTAGATTTTGTAGAAGTTTTACTGTCCTTAAATGAGAAAGCTTATTTTTCTTTTCTGTAATAGAAAATACAGCTGTATAAGTTTTTTGTCTTAAGGAAGTTGAGTGGAATATTCATTTAAATGTTTGATCGAAGTTTCATAGAGCCTATTACTGATGTTAAAATTACCTTAATATTTTCTCAAATATTATATATTACAAATATTATTATATTATTTTGAATATTCAAAATAAACCTGACATTTCATATTTCACAGTATAATCTATGCAGTCTATTAATAGGAAAGCAGCACAGAGCACAGTCACCTTGACAGCTAAGGCTTAGCTTTACTCATCTGGACATCCTGTAGTTCATACCCCTCTTTGAGGTGTTGTGTATTCAGAAGAGCATTATGTAGCATTGTTGCAAATCATCACACCTTATTTTGCTTTTTGTTAGTAGGTAATTAATGAATCTGCAGTCTAATCTGGAGGTGATTGTCATGTTATAAAAATCACAGTTATTTAGGAAATTGCTGCTTTTAAATTGCATTGAGATAAGTAGCAGACAGCAGACTACAGATGTTAGTGTATTAGACATTCAAGCTCTGCCGTGGAAGTAGAATATCCCTTCAAAACTGGAGTTTCTCAGTCGAGTGCAGTTCTTATTTTAGACTGACACAACCCTAGTGATAGGAGGGATAGTTCTGTCACATGGGTGAATACTGTTGTAGGTTGTGCTTTGTCACATATTTGGGGGTGGTGACTCATGCTAGTCAGCAGTCACTGTCATTTAATCTTGCTAAGGAAGATTTTATAACTGCAGATTCCATATTTGGCTATTACCTCATAACATAATACTGAGCCACAGCCATTTCATGAACAAGTAAGAGCTTGGATCTGGTTGTTTTGTGGCATCCTGGCATCGTTAAACTGACTTTTTGCAAACTGGTATTTAGTAAAACTTGCTGGGGAGATGCTTTGGAGTGTAGCACCATGGAGTCCTCAGTTTGAATGCTGTTGGAGTTATACTGGAAAGTCACATTGTACTTGAGGCAGCTGCAAGGAATCTGCCTGCTGTATCCTGGTTGATGTTAAAAAATTAAGCAATACTCTGAATTTCTGTTGGAAGTTGTATGCGGTTATCAGTGAGCCTGCAGTGATGGAGATGTCCCCTCTGTCTCGTACGATGATTGCTTTTACATTGCCTGCATTTATGTTCTAGGAAATCACATACTACCTGATGAAGATCTGGCTTCCTTCCATTGGAGTTTACTTGGTCCAGAACACCCACTAGCCTCACTGAAGGTACAGACTTCACTTCCAGCATTTATCCAATCAAGTGTTGATTTTGCTATTATGTTAAAAAGGTTGTATTCTTTCTTGTTGGCAGTGTTATTTTTCCCCATCTCAGGATCTACACTGCTATAAAAACAACCATCCTTCCTTCTCTGTTCCCACTGCACCTGCATGCTAGGCTGATTTATAAGTTCCTAGAGAATTCCCTTTGAGGAATGCCATGGACCCAGACGGGAAGAAATCTTTGAGCTAAAGTTTTTATAGATTAATTTTTTTACTTCAAAGTACTAATTTTTTTTCAATAGGTGATACATAGTCGTTTCTCACTTAGATCAGTGTCTTTTAAGAAAGTTCAAAACTCACAAATTTTCTAGTTATAAAATAGTCTAATTTAATGGTTTTTAGATACTGGGGAGATCCGAATTCATTAGAGAAATGGTCCATTCGTGCTGTTTTATTAGCACTTAATGTATTTTCTTACCTCTCTGCCTTCCAATTTCCTCCTTGTGTGAGACAGTAATGAACATAAGAGAAGAGACAATTGACTACGTTTTCTGAAGTGAGGAGGGCATGTGTTTGACAGAGCATAATGGTAATGAGTGAGGTTGGTAGGAGCCATGAGGACACTTCAGCTTGCACTCCTTAGTGACTCCTGTGATTGCAGTTGTAACTTGTTAGTACCAGTGCCCGTGGTGGTAGAGGAATTGGGAAGACTTGGACATTGTATCTGCTTCCAGCTCTGGGACTCGCTTCTTTAAGATCAAGAGAAGAGGTAAAGTGAGTGGTCACTAGAGGTTTGTCCTGCTGTAAAATTCTCACTCTGACAGAATGGCCCTCTTGCCATAACCAGATTTAATTGGTGCTTACTTTCAAATAAGAGTTTTTCTTTTCTTTCCTACATTTTAATTTCAGGTTCAAAAAAATTGTTTTGCCACATGTTTCATTTTGTTCCTTGCTATTTTAAAACCTCTTTCCTGTTGCATCTCTTAGTGGTATGATGCAAAATGTTTTCTTTTCACTCTAACAGTTCTCGGTTCGGGTCATTTTTAATTTCTTTTGAAAAGTTAGTCTTCACCTTCTTGTTAGAAATTACTTGGTTTTTTTTTGCCTGTTTGTCCTTGAGGGAGAAAAACTTTCTATTTGCTGTTAGCAAGAGAGCCCCGCTCTGTATGCTCTAGGGGATGAAGTGACTGGAGCTAAAATCTTGGGCCTAAGATTTCTTGGTAGTATTGTGATTGAAATTCAGTCTCTGGTCAGCTGTTTCATAGGCCTTAAGCATTTGGTTTCCTTAAGTGTATGGAGATGCTAATGGAGGCTCACTTCTTAGCAGATTGATTTACTTTGAAGGGCCTGCAGAAGAGAGTCCAGAGTCTCAGGTGAGCTGCCTTGGAGGAGCAGTTTGAAGAAGGATGGAAAGTGTTTGTCCACATACATCCACCTTCTTGGTTCAGCAGTCAGTCACATTTGCCATGGAGTCTCTGTGAGCCTGCATATCATTGTGTTTTAATTCCAGCTGTTGGGGAGTATGTTGCAGATGGTTCAGCGCTTCACTACCTAAAAATAAGGACTGTTGTCCACCAATAAAATTTATCATTTCCCAATTCCATGAATTTAAATAGAGCGCCCACATTCAAATTTTCCCAGTTGCCATCCAAAGGTTACTTAACATGTTTGTTGTTGTTTTGGCTTTATTATTGATTGATTGATTTGGCCTTACTATTTATTTATTGATTTTTGCAGTACTGGGGGTTGAACTCGGGGTCTTATGTTTGCTAGGCAAATGCTCTACCACTTAAGCCATGCTCCCAGTCCTTTTCCTTTTCTTAGCTTTTCAGATAGGGTCTTTCACTAACTTTGCCCAGGCTGACCTTGAACCACAGTTTTGCTGTCGCTCTGGCATAGGTGCGGGCCACTGAACCCAGCCATTGTGAGACAAGATCTCACATAGGCAGCCTAGGATAGGATTATAGGTGTGAACCACCACGTGCAGCTATAGTGTGAGATTTTCTTTTCTTTTTTTCCTTAAATCTGGATCCAGTCAAGTTTTGTACAATGTTACCGTGTGTGTTTTGAAAATAGCTTGGTATTTTTATGGCATAAGAGGGAAATAATCCAAAGTAGCTTTCCAGTTACTTGGTAACTTGCAGGACTGTAGTTATGTTCTGAAATGCAAGCACGCTGGCTTTGAGATGGTTCAGAATGTGCCTTTGCTGCCCACGTTTATGCTTGACCTTTTCCATGCACTTGTCATGCGCAGGGTCATTTTAACCCAGGTGTTGGATGTGATTTTTCCCCAGGAGTATTACTCATGTCAGAATCTTATGGAGTCCACTTCTGTTTTGTTTTGGTTTTTTTCCAGTTCTAAGAGTATGTCTTTTGAAAATTTGGATGGTAGTTGCTTATCTCTGTACTATTCTTAGAGTTTTAGTTGGATTTTAAATCAGTGTTTAGTTTCAGATTGGAGTTTTTCTTCCTAGATTTTCCCTTACATTTAACTTTGTTGATTCCTGGAGATTGAGTACAATTCCTTTGCCACCTTTCATTTTGTTTCTCGCTTTTTAAACCCCTTTTCTTCTACACCAATTGCTGATGTGCTCATACTAAAAGGTCCTTTGAATTGATTAGTTGATCCATATAGCACCAGCCCCTATTATTATGAACAATGATTTACCAGATTGGACTTTGACAAAGTACTACAAGTATAGTATGACAAATGGGCTGGATCAAGACAGCTCAGACTTGAGGATACAAAGTCACATTCTCGACTGGGTGTAGAGCTCACACCTGTAACCCCAGCTACTTGGGAGGTGAAGGTCAGGAAAACTACAGGTGGAGACTAGCTAGGGCGAAGAGTTAGTTAGACCCTGTCTCAACCACTAAGCTGGGCATGATGGTATGTGCCTGTCATCCCAGCCATACAGGAGGTGTAAATAGGAGGGTCACTGTCCAGGCTAGCTGGGGCAAAAACACAAGATCCTATTAAAAAAAAAAAATTCCTAAAGCATAAAGGGCTAGGGCTTGGCTCAAGTGGTAGAGCACCTGCCTAGCAAGAGCAAAACCCTGAATTCAAATCCTAATACTGCAAGGAAAAAAAACTTTAAAAAGTGTCCAATATACCATGTTCAAAAAGGAATGTATTATAAGCCAGGTGCCAGTGGCTCCTGAATCTAATCCTAGCTACTTGGGATCCTGAGATTGGGAGGACTGTAGTTCAGGACCAGCCCAGGCATATAATTTGAGTGACCTCATCTTCAAAATCCCCATTTCATGAATGAGCCCTGTGAAGTGATGCACCTCTGTAACCCCAGCTATTCAGGAGGCAGAAGTAGGTCCAGGACTGGCCTGGGTAAAAGCACAAAACCCTATCTGCAAAACAGACTTTTAAAAAAGCAAAAGACTTGGGAGGGGAGGTATGGCTCAAGTGGCAGGGTGCGAGGCCTGACTTTAATCCCTAGACCTTCCCTATTTCTGTACAGTGGGGAAATCCTCACTTTAACTTTCCCATGGAAGTATTTCTAAAAGGATCATAGGCTGAATAAGCAGAATCAGTAGAATATCCTTTTAGTGTGTTTTTAGTTTTAGAATTACAAAGAGCCCTTATCATGTTTACAGTAATGAAAACCAGGCTAATGTGTCTTGGTCTTTTTAGGAGGCTGCCGATCCTGTCCTGGGTTCTGTGCCTGTTTGGATTCTCTTAGTGGGGCAGACTGTTCTATAAGTTGTGGCAGAGCTGAGGCCTTGGAGTGTATGGGCCGTTTTCAGTGGTGGTCATGAGCCCACCTCCTTCCTTCTGTGCCTGAAAGTACATGGCCACTTTGCCTGGATATGAGTTTTCATGATGTGGCCAGTAATTGATGACCTCACAGCCCAGTGTGATAGGTGCGCAGAGGGATGAAAGGCTGTCGCCACTGGCGTTGACACAGGGTCTTCTGGCTGTGGGCACACGCTGAATGAGTGCTTTTTAAAAATACGCTTTTTGAGCTTTTTATTGTTCTAAAATGTTTGTGTCAGCTATGGGAATTTTAAATTTTATGTGGCATTCTGTTTGTTTGTTTGTTTGTTTTTGTGGTACTGTAGTTTGAATTTAGGTCCTTGAGCTTGCTAGGCAAGTGCTCTGCCACTCGATCTACATCCCCAACTCTGTTTTTTTTTTTTTTTTAACTTTTTGCCAGATGTAATCCTGGCAAGGACCTGTAATCCTGGTCCTTAGGAGATGGAGGCAAGAAGATCACAAGTTTGAGGCCACTTTGAGCTGCACAGGGAGACCCTATCCCAGAGATAGTATTGCCAATGCTAGGCAAGGGCCTGGGTTCCATTCCCAGAACAAGCTTTTTTATAGGTGTTTGCCAGCTTTTAATTTTTAAAGAAATACCATTTCTTGTTGCTGCTGGTTTTCCTGAACCTCTAGTTTCTAGTGTTTTTCTTACCCTGAGAGCTCTAATTCTCCTGACCTCATGCTTGAATACACAGTAAACCCTTGGTATCTGTGGTACACGGTTCCAAGGAGACCGCTGTCAAGGAAAACCCGCACATGCTTAGGCTGTGTAGAGTTGAGTGCTGCTCTGCCAAATGTTTGGTTCATTTTTTTTCCTGTAATAGACATGCTGCCTTTCAGCAAGTCTAGAATTTTCACTTTATCTTCATTTAAGCACATTTCTTGCCTTTTTGTCTTGGGAGGATTACCATAACTTTTACCTTGCCTTTTGAACACCATTTGCTTTGGGGGAGGCATACTGTATTTTTACCAAACTAAGGGCAGGGAAATACTCAGCAGATCACACAATAATCAAAACAGAGTTGATGATGACAAGGGACTGACAACTGATTGAAAACTTGTCTGCCCCCACCGAGCTAGCTACAGAATGTGTGTGTGTGTGAATTCAGACAAGTTTTTTGTGGTTTTTTTTTTTTGAAATTTCTTTTATTATTCGATGTGCTTGGTCAAAAACATGTAATAAATTCAGGAATAAGGTGGGCTTACTGTAACAACATTTAAGTATGGGGTCTTG